CCCCCCCCCCCCCCGGACCACCGCCCCCCCCTGAATGAAACCTCTCACATAGCGCGGGCTTCCGGCCCGCGTCGATGCTGCTCTTCGTGCTCCAGACGAAGGTACTTTTTGGTTTCTGTCCGGCGTTGTCAGCGGCGTTTGTGACGGAGGTGGAAGGGCCCCCGCCGAATCCTTGGGTTGAAAGCGTGGGGGGAGGTTCGTGGGAGGAAACGTCTGTTTCAGTCAAGGTGCTTTTCGACCTCTGGTTGCAATGGTGCCCTATGCTGGCTCTCGTCTCTGGGGTGGGTTCGTGCCGGAATACTATCGAAGTTTTGCGGCGGAATTGGTTCCCGTTCGGTGGGGTCGTGCGACAAGGGGGCGGCCGGCAGTCCTAAAACTTTCTCAAGGTTACTTTGGAAGTGTGCGGCTAGGGGCGTTGTTGTAGGGGGTGTACAGGCAGTGTGATGATGTGTCCCATATTCTTCAACTTTATGGGTTTCGTTCCATGGATGAGGATTGTGTAGTTTTCTAACCTCTTTTTTTTGTTCAGATGAAGGCGATTGGCCTCATGGGGGAGGGGCGTTGGGTGTTTGCTCGTGGGCTCGTTGCAAGGAATAGCCGTGCAGGCTCTGGCGCCCAGAAGGGTGAACGCACTGGAAAAATTGTGAACCCATATTTCCAGCCACTGCATGAATTGAACTTTTTGGAAGGGTTCGTAACAAAGGCCCAATTTTGTAGGAGTTTTGGTTATGCTGCATTTGTTGAAGCCGATAGGTGTCGATAGTGGGAATCAAATTTCGGGAATGGACCGTGTATTTCTCGCGGTTCTAAAGTATTTTTCATCCCGTTGCACGATGCCCTTGATGATGTACTTCTTTTTCTGTACAAAAGGCACACTGCATACGTATTGACCTTCTCACGTACCACGCCCTACGGTACACCAGAGCGGTTTGTTGGTCAAGCGGTCGTTTCTAGAGAAGGAAAAAAAATGATAGCGGTAGGCTAGGGTAGGGTAGCTTATTTTGTGAGGAGGGAGAGTATTTATCACGCCTTTCGTCTTGAACCGGGAGTTCATGCCAAGAACAAGAGAACATGGTACAGCAGTGCTTACCGCAGCTGCAGTCGTTCCCTAACATCGAAACGTATCCACATTTCATCTACTTCGTATTTTTACGAAACGTACGGGACGACGGTGTGTGTGGAGGGTTGTTAGTGGTCTTGTACTGGCGTGGTGCCCGACCGGGGCACTGCCGCCAGCGGCTCAACCTGATTGGCCTGCCGAACGACCTTCCTTGCCGGGGCCATACCGCCTCCAAGTTGTATCAACTCTTTTGTCCTCGGCGATGAAACCGAAAGCCATCACAGCAGCAGCAGGCCCTCTTGTTTTTGAAGCGCGTAATGTAGCCCCCCACGGGCCCACCGCGCCTGCCACCGGGAAACAATGGAGACGTTTTTCGGCCTGGAGTTCCAGTTAAGGGCGGTTTTGCTTCCTTTTTTTTCGGCGTTGTTAGCACCGTATACTACGGAAAGGTTTCACGGCACGTAAGTCAACTTACTCCAACTACATATGTAGCGGCACACGCCCGGCGAAACGAACGACGTTCCCAGCCAGGTGCGGCATCCAGACGACACGGGGCCCGGCAAGTCATGAAGGTACCTGTCTCTCTCTCTCTCTCTGGTGGTCGTGTTGTTCCCTTTGGAGTGGTAAGAGGCATTCGTCAGTTCACTGGACGGCTCCGCAATTCTGGCCCGCATACGTTACTTACAGCCCACCATCTTACGTTCTCTAGAACAACGGCAAAATCGAGACAGATGCACCAAAACCTCAAAACTCGGGGACAGACACATGAAACGCCCAGTCGTCGAACAGAGCACGGTCTGACCGGAATTGGCCGCTCGAACGGAGCCATACGTCATGACAGCCGGCTGCTAGCCTCAACGCATTGCCACGCAGACGAGGCGTACGGGGCTCCTGGGACTACTCCCCGCCCGCCTCCCTCGCAATCGCCTCCTCCTCCGGCCTGCCGTCGCTGCTCTTGGCGCTGTCACCGCCACCACCACCCTTGGCGGTTATTTCGCTGCTGCCGTCCTTGCCAGCAGTACTCTCGCCGTCGCCGTGCGCTCGGTACAGGGCGAGCAGCTCCGAGCACACCAGTTCTACCTCCTCGTCTCGCGCGTCGAACAGCCGCCACCACGGCTTAGTCGCCGTCTCGTCCCCTTGGTCTTCGTCGCCACCCCTGCCGCCGTCACTGCTCTTAACGCCAACAACAAGGACATCGGCGCCACCTGCAAAACCGCCTTGATTGCCACTGATCCCTCCGTGATCGCCAACCGTTGGAGGAGGGGGAGGTGGTGGCGGTGGTGGCCGGGCACCCGCTGCCGTGACAACGTGTTGGCCGTTCACGCCTCCTCCAAGTCCACCGTGGGGTGGAGGAAACGGCGGTGGAGGCGGAGGTGGTGGCGCAGGCCGCTCCGTCGGTGGAACAACGCTCGCACCGCCACCGCTACCGGTGCCACCACCACGACCCCTGTCCCCCATACCACTCTCCACTTTCCCGAGATCCCGACCGCCGATCGCATCCCCCTCCTCCTCCCGCCGACGCTTGCTTATTTTCTGCACCGGGGGGGAGTACCACCGCAGCCGCCGGTCGCCCCCGTGGACGCGCGCGGCCATCCGTATGACGGCGCAGGCGACGGCCGGTGGCGGGGCGGAGAGGGCTCGGGGGCAGAAGAGGACGTCGTTGGCCAGCCCCCACGCCGTGCGGGTGGCGGCGCGGTCGAGCCTCAGCGATCGCGCGTAGTTGAGCAGCAGGCGGTAGGGATCCGGAGGGTCGACCTGGAAGTTGATGGTGCGCAGGAGAACCTGCTCGAACTCGACGATCCGCTCCTTCATGGTCCAGTAGGCCTGAGTCAGAGGGTCGGATCGGGGGAAGCGTTAACCGGGCTCAATGCGTGTAGTAAGGTACGTCGACAAGGACCGGCCGGGATGGTCTTCACGGTACAAAAAGTGCGTGAGGCAATACTCGCAGGGTTGAGTTGGAAACCTCCCCATCTTAGCAACACACCGTGTGCGTATGTGCTTCCAATTTCAAGACCACACAACAACAGCAGCTCCCGTTGCTATCTTCCGTAACAGGGAATACACCTTGTCCAGCAGGGGCGGCTCGTCCTGACCCGTGCTGTTGAGCATGTGGAGCACGTTGATAACGTCTCGTAGGCGGCGGGGGGCCTCGGTCACCTTCCCAGCCAGGAACAGGCAGGTCGTTAGGATGACATCCCGGCTGCGGCGGTGCTTGCCCACGCGCTCCTGGATAAGGAACCGGTGGAACAGCAGCACGGCCGTGCCGGTGGTCCCCTGTGTGCTCGCGCCACGTTGCGGCCACCGACGAGGCAACCAGAGGAGGGGAGGGGCAGCAGGCGTGGGGGGGGGGGGGGGGGGGAGCCAACTGGGGAAACTTGGGAAAAAAAACAAAAACCCCCCGGGGGGAATTTTTGGGATTGGGAACCCAAAAAAAAGGGTTCCCCCCCCGGAAAAACCCCCCCCCCGGGGGAAAAAAAAGCCTCCCCCCCGAAAAATTCCCACCCGGGGGCCTGGGAATTTTTTTCAATTTTGCAACCCACCCCCAAATGGGTTTTTGGGGTTTTTAGGTTTTTTGGGGGAAAGGCTGAA